TTTTGCCGTTTTGCCAGTTTTTTGGCCGTAACTTTCCACAAATTGTTTTTACTAGCTTACCCCGTTTGAAAATTACTTACAGGGTGTCCCAAAAAAAACGACCCATCTGGCATTTCGCCGTGTTACATCCAATCGGTCCCAAATTTGGACCAGAGGTGTATCAGACCCTAAATAACAACAATCCTGACTTATAGCCCTGTAGCTACAGTAGATTTTGAGTTATAGCAAAAACAAACTTTATTTTCCACTTTTCATAGGGTTTTCGTGGAATTAGACCCCCTAAACATTAAGTGAAAATGATCCGGTAGGCCTTCTTTACCGTAAGAAATTTTTTCCAGAGTAACATTAATTAAATAAGCTTCGATTTAAGCGATTTTTACAACGCAAAACTACCCCAGTTCTTAAGCGAAATTAGGGATTCGCAGCCGGAAGCCGATGCAAATCGATGCAAAGTCCAAAAAGATAGCCGATAAAACTGTTAAGCAGTCCGGGGAAAACAGTATTTTCATTATAACTTTAAAACTACTGTAGCTATGGGGCTGTAAGTCAGGATTGTTGTTATTTATGGTCTGATACACCTCTGGTCCAAATATGGGGCCGATTGGATGTAACACGGCGAAATGCCAGATGGGTCGTTTTTGTTGGGACACCCTGTATATGCCCTCCAGCCTGCCGATTCCCCAAATGATCTCTGCAATCTCCTCACCTATAAGATGATGATGCGGATGTGATTTGTTGTTGTATGAGGGTGGCATCCCCTCCCTTTTCAGCAGCCAATCTGCCAGCCAGCTGTCCATCCAATCTCTCCTGTTCTTCCATTCTGGCTGCCATTAATGCGTCCATTCTCTCTTGTTCTTCTCTAACAGCTCTCCTCTTCATTTCATCCATTGCCGTCTTCTCCGCCCTTTGCCGCTCCTCCTCCATCTCGCGGCGCCTGAATTTCGGGGTTTAAAGGACCGCTGAAGGCAAGAATTTAGGTCCCGCCCTTTTCTGGTAACCAGCCATGCAACTAAAGATCACTGCTAGCCTGCCACACCGCTAACAGCGCTGTCACCACACCTTTAAAGGACAATTGAAGGCAAGAATTTAGGCCCCGCCCCCTTCTAGCAGTCCGCCGAGTTGTTAATGATCTCTGCTAGCCTGCTATGTTGATAAATCGATGTCACCACACCTTAAAGGGACGTTCAACGCATCCCAGGAATTTAGGGTTCAAAGGACCGCTAAGGGCAAGAATTTAGGCGCCGCCACATTTCGGGCAACTTGCGAAATCCGTAATGGTCTCTGCTAGCCTGCCCAGACCTAAAACCGCTGTCACGACAACTTTAAAGGACCGTCGAAGGCAAGAATTCGGACCGCCTTTTCTGGCAACCTGCCGAATCCCTAATGATCTCTGCTAGACTGCCCAGGGCCAAAACCGCTGTCACGACACCTTTAGAGGAATTAATCGATTACGCAACTAAAAGACCCGGCGACACCTACCTATTCTCATTTATCTCCCTCATTTCGAGATTCTTTCTCTCCTCAATCTTTTCCCTCTCCTCTCTCTCTCGATCTATTTCCATTTGGCGTTCAATTCTGGCCAGTCTATCCGCTTCATCAGCCGCCATTTGACCCCTAAAATTGGTAAATTAAACGCAGAATATACCGTACCTCAGCGCATTAATGATTTTGTCGACGCGTCGCAGGCATTCCTCATAATTTTTTGCACACGCGTCCAGCTCCATTTCGCGTTTCTGAAAATCGCGGGAATTCTATTCGATTACGCCAGGAAAATCGCAAAATTTGCTAATCGATTACGCCAGTTAAACCGGAAGATACGCCATCGATTACGCCAGAAAAATCGGTGGAAATTTCGTAGTACGCTGCGCTCCAAATTCCGCTTGGACTAATCGAAGGAGAAGCAGGGAAAAGCAGGGGGGGGGGAAAAGCTTTAGGAGAACGAGGGTTTTTCGGGGCTGCGGAAGGCCGGGGAAAACTTTCAATTAGGGACCGTAAAAGGAGGGAGGAGGAGGAGAAGGAGGAAGAAGAGGACGAGGGCACCTTGACTCACAGGGGGCAATCCAGGGGTTTTTGGTCTCCCTCTCTCTCTCTCTCTCTCTCTCTCTCTCTCTCTCTCTCTCTTTCTAACGCTCTATCTCTATCACTTTCTCTCGCTGTCTCTCTATCACTCTTACCCGCTCTCGCTCTCTCTCGCTGTCTCTCTCTCACTCTTACCCGCTCTCGCTCTCTCTCTCTCTCGCTGGCTCTCTCTCTCCCTCGCTCTCTCTCTATCTCCTCCTCCTCCCCGTAAAGAATCGATTACGACAGCTAAATCCAGCCAGGGCATGCCGGCAAAGATTATTTGAGAAATGGATAGACTGCATGGCAGTTTGAGGAATTACAAAAGGGGCACGCTAGCGGAGGCTATTTGCGGAATTTTAAGTTGGAAATGACGAAAATGGGTTTTCTGGCAGCCAGATTGACTCTGAGGTCGCTTGCCCGCTCTCGCTCTCACTCTCTCGCTCCCCCTCTCCTCTCGCCTGCAAATCTGAAACTTAGCCCAGGAAAAGAACAGCCTGCCATGACCTTTCTTTCCAGGAATAGCCAACTAGAGGAGATATGGCCCTATATTCCCCCCTGGGACCCAGAATATCCCCCCCCCCCCCCCCCCCCCTCTCGCTCTACTCACTCAAAGACCAAAACCTGCCGAAAAACAACCGAAATGACCCTTCCACGCAGTTTTCATGATGTCATTCGATCAAAGGGCCTAGAAACGTGTCTACTGGCAGCCAGTCTAGAGGCATTCGTGCCTTGCCAGTCCCTTTAAATCCGAGAAGCCATTTAGAATCCACAAAAACGTCATAACTGGCTACCAGTTCTACCGAATTAGTGGCTTCCCCTTCCTTTCAATGCTAAAAACGTGATTTTCCTCGCCAGAAAACGTCGCCGTCGCGCCAACTGGCAGCCAGTCAACCGCTAAAAGTCCCCTTAAAACATTTAGGTCCATTTTTAGCGGATGAAACAGACAAAACCGTGAAAACTGACATCCAAACCAGCAAAATTCGCGCCTTCGAAGTCCCTTTACAGCCAGAAAGATAATTTTTTCTCGAAATAACAAAGACCCTTCCTAGTCCCTTTTTAGAACGCCGAAAACTTGTAAGTTGGTGCCAGTCCAACCGAATTTGTACGTTCCGGTACCTTTAAAACCAATAAAAGTCATTTTCATCGAAAAACATTGAATCCGCCTAAACTGTTTGTCAGTCGAGCCAAGGCCTCCAGTCCCTTAAACCGATATAAACGGTATTTTAGAGGCCAAAACCATCGAATTTGCGTCAGCTGACATCCAGTCGAGCTGAATTACTGGCTTCCAATTCCCTTTAAAATCCATAATTGCCTTAAAAATCCTGAAAGCACGTAGACTGGCTGGCAGACGAGAAGCTGTGGCCGTGAGGGGCCGTTCGCCCTATGCGGAGGGCCCGATTCGGGATGGGAGAGGGGTGGGTGGGTGTGGAAATGGAATTAGAGGAGGATGGAAAAAGAGGACGGGGCAATTCAGACCCTAAATAATGATCACGGAACGAACGGAAGAGAGAGAGTGAGTGAGAGAGAGAGAGAGATGAGATAGAGAGAGAGAGAGAGAGAGAGAGAGACAGAGAGAGAGGGACAGACAGGCAGACAGACATACAAACAGCCGCTCCAAATGACGCCACACACCGCTGGGGGGCAATGAAAAGCCTGTGCGGGAATTAACGGCCCCCGGAAATTCGGGCTTAAAGAGAAAATCGCGGAATTTCCCAAAGAATCACTGCTAGTTTGCCCCTGGAAAATGTCATTTGGGTGCCAGTTTGCCAATTGGTCATAAAAAACTCCGCGAATGAGCGCTGCTGGCCTGCCCTGGCTCCTGTCGCCGTCCCGATTCCGTTGCGTAATCGATTACGACACGTTCAAGGTAGTCAAGCGGAGCGCGCGCGTTGCGTGCCGCGGGAGAAAATCGAGAGGAGAGCTAATTCCAAATGAGCTTTTACACCTTTCCATCGCGTAATCGATTACGACACCATTATGAGTGACAAGCGGGCGTGCGCGTTGCGTGTCGCGGCGCGGAGAATACGATTTAATACGATTTTCGATCGCGTAATCGATTACGACAAGTCGAAGGTCGTCAAGCGGTGCGTGTGCGTCGCGTGCCGCGGGGAAAACGCAAGGGGAAAGCTAATTCCAAAAGAGCTTTTATGCCTTTCCATCGCATAACCGATTACGACACCTTTATAAGAGCCAAGCGCAGCGTGCGCGTTGCGTGTCGCGGCGCGGAAAATCGATAGTTTTACCGTACCTTGCATTGATAGAGCAATTGAATGATATTTTGCTGCGTCGCATCGACTTCTTTCCCCCATCCATCCTTCGAATTCGGGCCCAACTTCTCGACAATACTCTGCATCTCTGCGCCTCTCTTCTTCAGCGCCACGATCTTACGGTAGAGGGATAACCTGAAAATCGGGGAGTTGAGCTTTAAAGGGACCGCGAAGGGAGAGAATCGCATGAAATACATATCGTAACCGATTTTTTCGAGCTGGTTTTAGGATGGCGTAATTGAATACAATTTTTCTTATTTAAATTGCGTGATCGAGTATCTTTGAGAAATTTGAATTTTAAAGGCACCGGGAAGGGAGAGAATCGCTAGAATTACATCTCGTAATCGATAATTCCGAGCTGGTTTTTGCATGGCGTAATTGATTGAGATTTTTCGGAATTCACTTGCGTAATCGATTATCCTTGAGCTCCTAATTAACTATCGTAATCGATTATTTATAAGCTCATTTTTATTTCAGGTCGTAAGCTGTTTTATGAGCTTTTTTATGCTAAATATACGTCGTAATCGATTGAGAGAGGCGCGGAAAACCCCCGGAAAACCTTAACTGCCACCCAAAGGTCGCTTTAAAGGGCTCGAGAAGTCAAGCTGTGCTTTCCCAAAGGATCTTGGCTAGTTGACACCATGACTTTCCGGTCCCTTTATAAATTGGCAAGTGGGAAAAGCCTGGAAAATCATTGGCTGGGTGGCGTTTGTGTCTCGGAACGACTTTTTTGCCTCACACTCTCTTTCTCTCTCTCTCTCTCTTTCTCTCTATCTCTCTCTCTCTCTCTCTCTCTCGTTTCCACAGGTCGTTCCGGGACCTCCCCGTTTGCCATAAAATGCATGGGAATTGGGTGGTTAGCGGGTGGCCGCGAGGTAAGGAACCAGTCGAAAAAGCCGAGAAAAGGCCCTTGCAAAAATTCCGCAACTCAAGGGATTTCTGCAAGCTTCCCGGAACCAGAATTTACTGTCACAGTCCCTTTAAACTCCTTCATGTTTTCGGCTAGCTTGCCCGAAAATTTGTGGGAATTTTGCTTTGCCGATTCCTTTAAAGGGAGAGTGACAGCTGTTTAGAGCCTTATTAAAGGCATTGCATGACGTAATCGGTTGAGAAGCGTTTTAAAGGGAGTGAGACAGACAGTTATGATCGAATTTGATGTCGTAATTGGTTCAAATTTCGAATAAATTCGTAGATTCTGAAATTAGGCGTCGTAATCGATTACGACACCCTTTTAAAGGGAAGTTATTTGGTCAGTTTTCCAAATTTAGTGTCGTAGCCGGTTCGAAAAGTGGTTTAGAAAGCGAATTTTTCCGTTTTCCGATTTGTGCTGGCAATTGGAGTCGCCATTACATGACGTAATCGATTGGGAAAGCGTTTTAAAGGGAGTGAGACAGCAAGCTTTGGGCTAATTTGACGTCGTGATTCCTTCGAAATCCGTATGAATCCGTAGATTCTGAAATTAGATGTCGTAATCAATTACGACATCTATTTAAAGGGAAGAAATCAGGTATGCTTTCAGAATTAAGTGACGTAAGCGGATGGAAAAGTGGTTGAAAAAGCGAATTTTTCCGTTTTTTCCGAATTATGGCGGCAGTAAATTTGCAGGCGCAGATTTCTTGCGGGGAAGCGGATAATTGGTGGTCTCGCTCCCCCCCAGAGCCAGCGGCATATTTTATCTCCACATTTTTTTCCGCCGTCCATCATTCAGCAGGAAGGCCCCAACCGGGCAACCCAAAAAGCCCCCCCCGCATTTCTGGGGAAAAATGGGCAAAATGGATTGGCGGGACAAGGGAAAACTACGGTAGCTCGATTGCCCGATTTTTGCCTGATTTCCGGTGTAATAAAACGAGATTCCGCTAGGATACGCTAGCTTGCAGTATACCAATTTTTAGAGCTCATTTTCCTCTATCGAATGGTATACGGTACTAGCTGCAGTACGCCCAGATGTCAAGAGGAACCGCGCGGAAAATCGTAATTTTTGGATTTTATCTTTCACGTCTTATAAATTCAGTTTCCGTTAGGCTACGGTAGCTTACAGTATTCAATCTCATAGAGTATATAATATCCTGCGCCTAGCTACAGTACGCCCAGACGTCAAGAGGAATCGCGCGGAAAATGACAATTTTTTGAATTTTTTGTATCTATCGAGCATTATAAATTCAATTTCCGTTCAGATACGGTAGCTTAAAGTATACCAATTTTTAGAGCTCATTTTCCTCTATCGAATGGTATTCGGTACCTAGCTACAGTACGCCCAGACGTCAAGCGGAATCGCGCGGAGAATGGCACTTTTTTAACTTGTTTCACCTTTGAAGCCTCATAAATATAGGTTCCGTTAGGATACGGTAGCTTGCAGTATAAAATTTGATAGATCTCGTTTTTCTGTTACGAATTAAATATGCTTCGGCGCCACAGTACCCCAGGTGTCAATGAAAACGCCGCAGAAACCTTGAAAAATCCAGTGGTCCAGCGTCCTCTTCCCTAATTGTTTACCCATTCGATGTACCCGTGAATCAGATTGCCCTTTCTGGTTGTTTCTATTGACACTACGTCAGTTTTTTGGGCCTCTATCTCTTCTTAAGAGGCGATGGAAGGAAATTTCTGAGGGAAGGAAAAGGAATCTCTAAAATGTCCAAAAACAATGGATCGGCACAAAAATTGCAAAAATTAGGTCCAAAGGCAAGCCAACTAGCAGAGGATTCTAGGCAATTTTCAAAAAAGCTAAAGGTCATTAAAAATGTCTGAAAACGATGGAAGAACAGAAGAAATAGAGAGAAAATCTGACTGCTGGCTGGCTGGCAGAGATTCTTGCGAAAAATCATCTTCCGTGAGGTTTTTGCTCCTTTGCGGAATCCGCTTGGATTACTAGCAAAGATTCTTAAGGAATTTTCAAGAAGCCAGGGATCCCTAAAACCGAGCAAAGGAATGAATGAAGCAGAGAAAAATAGCAAAAATGTCGCTAAAGACATGCGTGAATCCACCTAGCAGGGATCATTTGGATGCAACGCGCACCGCGACACGCAACGCAACGTGGAAGTTTTGCCTAAGCGACGCGCGAAACACCACACGACAGCGACGCGAGACTTTAAAAGGCCGTTTGCGAGAGACCCGAACAAGGCTTGGCACAGTTTTTTTCGACCCATTTTTTATGACATCATCTGAAAAAGCATGGTCGAATTAGTAGAGTGGGATGGTTTTGAAAGTTTTAAAAGTTTAATTTTGATGTTAAAATGGGCCTCAAAGTTGCCGACACCCAAAAAATATATCGAAAACTACTGAACGGAATTTGCTGAAACTTTGTGACAATCCCTAATTTGGGTCGGGGAACATTTTTCTAATACATTGCAAAACCCGAAAGTGGCCGGAACATAGGTATCTTGCGTACTAAAAACAGTTTTTTCGGAATTAGTAGTTTTACGGCTGATCACTGCATCAAGCGATTAGTACCAAAAGATGCACCGAAATTTTCTCTATCGATTGATGTATCTTTTAGAATGCAGCGAGCACCCGTAAAAACCGAAAAATCGTCCTGAATGGGTCGCTAAAGCGTCAATTTCGGCCATTTTGGTGAAGAATTCCTTGCGGGGATAGGCTAGAGTAGGCGAGATAGTGGGGGAAAGTGAGAGAGTGGCCTCCGGGGGCCGATTAGGCTGCAGGCCTGTTCGGCTGTCGCTGTGGTGCATTGGTAGTGGGTCGGGATCCTTGCGCCGGGGCGCCTCTAGATCAATCCCAGCCTACCTTTAGAAAGCTAATTTCTTTTTGCTCTTTTTTGCAATTATCCTAACTCGGGCTATAGAATCATAACCATGTCACTCCCTGAAATATTTGCCAAATTTGGTCTTCGGGCGACCCATTCAGGACGATTTTTCGGTTTTTACGGGTGCTCGCTGCATTCTAAAAGATACATCAATCGATAGAGAAAATTTCGGTGCATCTTTTGGTACTAATCGCTTGATGCAGTGATCAGCCGTAAAACTACTAATTCCGAAAAAACTGTTTTTAGTACGCAAGATACCTATGTTCCGGCCACTTTCGGGTTTTGCAATGTATTAGAAAAATGTTCCCCGACCCAAATTAGGGATTGTCACAAAGTTTCAGCAAATTCCGTTCAGTAGTTTTCGATATATTTTTTGGGTGTCGGCAACTTTGAGGCCCATTTTAACATCAAAATTAAACTTTTAAAACTTTCAAAACCATCCCACTCTACTAATTCGACCATGCTTTTTCAGATGATGTCATAAAAAATGGGTCGAAAAAAACTGTGCCAAGCTAGTATGGGGCCTGTTCGAGTGTCTGGCGGACGGCCTTTTAAGTATACGGACCACCTACGCAACGCGCACGTAATCCTACGCGCAACCTAACGCCAGACACACTAGCAGTGAATCTCTGCGGAACCGACTTGGCAGGCTAGCAAAGATCTTTGTGGAAAACAGTTAGATCGGCAAAAAATCACCAAAAACAATGGAACGTACAAAGAAAATGAGAAATAGCACCAAAAAATGGATGGGCAGTGCTTCCGGTGAGCGGCATCTCGTTTTGAAGAGAGAGAGAGAGAGAGAAAGGACGGGCTGGGGCCTACTAATTTGGGTGTGGAGGGGAAGGGAAAGAGGAATGGAATGGCCCGTGGAGGGGGATGTTTTTCTTGGAGGAAAAGGGGGCAGATGAGGGGGGAGAGGCCAATATAATCCTCTCTCACCCACGCCAGATTCCCTCAGATTGGCCAAATCAGGGGTTTTTCAGAGATCGTGCAAAAAACAACTAGCAGAGATCATTTGTGGATTTTTTGAGGTTGAGCACCTAGCAGGGATCATTCGGATGCGACGCGCACCGCGACACGCAACGCAACGCGGAAGTTTTGCCTAAGCGACACACGAAACACAACACGACAGCAACGCGAGACTTTAAGGATACGGACCACCTACGCGACGCGCACGTATCTACGCCACTAACGCGACAAATACCGCGGCAAGCAACGCGAGCGCAAATAACGCGACACGCAACGCGCCTTAGACACGACACCAACGTAACGCGAAAGAATCTCTCAACGCTACGCGACACAGAGCGCCACAACGCAACGTAAACTCGAAAATAACACGACACGCGAGGCGCACGTCACGCTACAAGCAACGCGTAGGCCCTTTTATTCCATCGCGTAATCGGTTACACAATTTGCGGTTACCAGGTTGGGCTGTGGGCTGTTTTCCCGGTTCCTTCAAAATCTAAGGCAGCTCCCGGTATCACTTATGACAGGTTATTCAGAACGCAAAATTAGGACTATTGCTGGTCAAAGGGGCTCCTTAAGAATCGATTACGACACGTAAGTCGGAATATCGTAAAAAATCGATTACGATAGGTATTCACACGGTTATCTCACCCTCTCTCTCACTCTCTCTTTCTCTCTCTAGCTCTCTCTCTCTCCCTCCCTCTCTCTCTCTCTCGGTCTCTCTTTCTATCTCTCTCTCCCTCCCTCTCTCTCTCTCAGTCTCTCTTTCTCTCTCTCTCTCTCTCTCTCTCTCTCTCTCTCTCTCTCTCTCTCTCCCAACCATACCTCGGCAATATCTTCTGTCGTGTCAAATATCCCCTAGCGTATCGTTGTATCGTCCTCAGTTGGTCCCCACGGTAGATGATCTTGTTTTTCACTGAAATCACGGATTTTTAAGTTTTTTAAAACGGGAATCCTTTTTTAAGGGATGATTACGGTTGCAGAGTTGGGCATTAGAAATGAAAAATGATAAAAGTGAAGTAAAAAATCGTCAAAAATCAGACAAAAATCAGTTTTCAGTAAGAAAATCGCGAAATTCAGCGGGATTCTGGAAGAAAAAAATAGTGGAATCCGTTTCTTTTCCCCTGAAAACGACCCTCCCTTCCCTTCGAAAAATTGGATAACTGCCCCCCAGAACGGAACGAAATTCCATTTCCTCTCCCCCGGCAAACAATCCGATACCCTCCGTTCAGTTTCTCCAAAAAAAATTGGAAACGCTGTATTTTCAAAGCGGCCGAATTCAATCAAAAAAAGCTGAATTCAACTTTTTTGTAAGAATTTGGGTCCTGATTTTGCCAAAAAAATGGGTGAGAGAGAGAGATATATATTAGAAAAACCTACGCTTAATAACACTCCACGCTCCATATTGTGCCTTCCTCCACCGGACACCAATCAGCCATTTCTTCACTTTTGACACGAGTATTGCCATTGCTGCCGGATCTTGGCGGAGGAGCTGAAAAAAAGACGGGATTTAGCGTATAATTCCTCAATGATCTCTGTTAGCATGCCCCCCTCAAATGGCGTTACCTGATCGAATTCGGCGAATTTTGCCGGCCGGAAGAAGACCTTGGTGAGGCCGAATTTGAAGTCGGTCGTGTTCAGGCCGAGGACACGGAATAGGCACTGGAAAATGTGCAGATTTCAGAGCATTAATGGTATTCACCTTGCAAAAAAGCCGTGGATCGAGTCGAGCCAATTCTGGGGGCAGCACCGCCGAATACATGTCGTACAGCTCTTTGAAGCCCGTTCTGGAAGGGAATTCTATGGATTTAAACGGCAGAAAAGGTGAAAAAGTGTAATTGTCATTCTTGGTTCTTTGGGATTGAGTTAAGGCCAAAATCTTCTCGAATATCGGAAAACTGGATGCGAAGCTATTCAAAAATTACAAAAACAGCTCAAACTACAAATGCCAGTCACACTACGCGGGTTCGAGCCCCGGCCCCGCCAAACTTTTTACTTTTTGAGGTTAGGGCAAATTTCTTTGTGTTAAACGCTAATCTGGAGTGCAAACTACAAAATACAGTACCTGGATGGATACCCAGAGTGCATCAACCGCAACACAGCCCCCATTCCAGCACATCTTAATTGCCCCAAAACGGCCGCGCCATCGAATTTCCACGGGGACATTGTGGCGTTCGGTTTGACGCAACGGACGAAATGGGTGCCCTGAAATGTTAGCTGCCTGTCAGCTTAGAATTTCCAGTTGTTTCGAGCTCGAAATTCCACAAAGAATCTTTGCTACTTTGCCAAAAGTGCGGAAATGGCTAAAATTTGAAAATTCCGATTTTTTGGCGATTTTATTTTCGGCGAAATCGATTACGATGGATAATCCGTGTTTCTCGTCTTTCTCACTGACCGTCAATGCCAATTTCTCGATGAGCTGCGCGAGTTGCGAGCGGAATTTGGAGCCAACGGAGGGGACGATGAGGCGGGTACGGCTGGGCACTGTTGCCTCAGATGTTGCAGGCGGCGCGAAGAGCAGCTTCATCACCGGCATTCTAAAAAGCTAAGCTGTCTGGCACAGCGTCTAGCCATACTCGCTCATCTCCATGACAGCCTCCAACGAGGCGTGCAGGGCGTCGTTATTCTTTTCGAGGAACCCGGCCGTTTGATAGCATACGGTACCGGCAAAATGGCGAACGAGGAGACCGTCTTCGTCTCGCATTCCGCGATGCTCCTTTAGGAGGGATTTGCGAGGCGTCTGCAACCAAATAAATATGTATAATTTTTGGCAAAAAAGAGAGAGAGAGAGAGAGAGAGAGAGGGAGATGGAGAGAGGGAGAGAGAGCGAGAGAGAGAGCGAGAAAGAAAGAGAGGGAGAGAGGTAGAGAGAGAGGTAGAAAGAGTGAGAGAGGAGAGAGAGAGAGAGAGAGAGAGAGAGAGAGAGAGAGAGAGGAGAGAGAGAGAGGGAGAGAGAGAAGGAGAGAGAGAGGGGGGAGAGGGAGAGAGAGAGAGAGAGGGAGAGAGAGAGGGAGAGAGAGAGAGGGAGAGAGAGAGAGGGAGAGAGAGAGGGATAGAGAGACAAAACTCCCTTACATCAAGCCGAAAATGCTTCTGATTAGCTTGGTGTACATTTTGGGTGAAATGGGCGGAGAGTGGCTTTGGGAGCCTCATCTCTTCGTCAAGCAGATCCAGCATTCCACTCCCCTTTTTCTCGAACAGATCTGAAAATCGGGTTTTTTATTTTTTAAAAGGAAAATTGAAATCCGGTATTTTTTGGCATTTCAAGAGTTTTCCAGCTGGCACGCTCCCTTTAATTTTTCCGAACTTTTGTTTACGATTTTTTAGCTTGGATGTCGGTTGGACAGCTAGCAGAGACCGTTTGCGGAAAGAGCGATTGGCGAAAGATAAGATGCTTTAAAGGGAGGGTGACAGCTAGCGGGGCAATCTAGCCAGGAGAATTTGTGGAAAAAAATTGCTTTCCTTGGTAGATAGTCTAATTAAATCCAAGCTGGCCAGCTAGCAGAGTTCATTTGCGGAATTTTGACGTTTTAAAGGGAGCGTGACAGCTAGCAGCGATCATCTGCGGAATTTTGACGTCTTAAAGGCAGCGTGACAGGCCGCAGGGAAGGCTAGCGGAGATTTTGGGGGATTTTTGGGGTTTTAAAGGGATCGCGACAGCTCGCAGGGGCAGGCCAGCAGAGACCATTCAACCCACCGATACAATCCTGATTATCCGCAAATTCGATCCTGTCCACCCCGAGTCCCTCTTTTTCATACAATTCCTGTTCTTCCTTCAGAATTCTTTCGTTGAAGAAATTCTGGAGTTTCTCGTTGCAGTAGTTGATGCAGAACTGCTCGAACCAGTTGATCGTGAAGTATTCTGAAAAACAGCCGCTTAAATTGGAATTTTTTTTGGTTTAAGGGGGCAGGTAAGTCGTGAAAAATTTCAAAAAAAATCAAAACATGACAAGAAGGCCGCAAATTACCGTACCAAATCCGGCAATGTCCAAAACGCCAATGTAGTTGTGAGAATTTGTGAACGGGATGCTCCTAAAAACGAGTGTTTTAAAGGGGCTAGGACAGGAGAATTCCCAAAGGATCTCTGCTAGCTTGCTCTCTCTCTCGCGCTCGCGCCCTCTCTCCGCTCTCTCTCTCACTCTCTCACGTTCTCTCTCGCTCTCTGTCTCATTCGCTCTCTCTCTCTCTATAGCTCTCTCGCTCTCACTCTCTCTCTCGCTCTCTGTCTCTCTGTCTCTCTCGCCTTACTTATTAATCGTCGCCACAATCCAATCGAACAGTCTCGAGTAGATGGCCTTTGCGAGGGCATCTCTGGCAGCGGATGCTTCAGCCGGCTTCAGCGGCACCCTAGAAATCAAACCATTTAAAAATTTTAGCTTCAAATTGTGGTCTATCGTTTGTGGTCTGTAGCCTGGCTGTCAGTTTAGCCATTCTCATCAAAATCTAGGCCCTAATCGCAAAAAGCAAAAAGTTTCGCACGGCCCCGAATTGAACCCGGGTCGTACGGGTTGAAAAGCTGTAGTCTGTAGTCCGTGCTACACTCGAATAGGTTGCCTGGCTTCCAGATTGCCTATTCCCAAAAAAAAACAAAAAGTTTGGCGCGCCGGGGATTCGAACCCGGGTCGTGTGGGTGGCAACCTAGCACACTACCAATTGACCATAGAATCGTCGAGCCGGAATTTGATGAGGTCGATTTTTTTCCATCATTTTGGGTTTCTCTCTGTATTTTCATACGTTCTTGCATGCAAAAATGAAATTTAGCTGTGTTGCTGTAACGAAAAACCCATTTTCCATGATGTGTATTTTTGTATTTTGTATTGCCATGTAAACTCTCAATTTTTTCACTACAATTTATTTATATACACCGGGTGACTATCAACGGGTTTCGGGGCGAAAAATACATTGGGGTACTGTAGATAAATCAGAAAATAAAAAATGACAATTAGGAAGGTTACCGTAATTTTTTTCGGATTTTTTTGGAGCTGAAAACCAAAAAAAAAGGGGCGAAAAAATGGAGGAGAGAAGAGAGATGGAAATGAGAACATTTTTTCGATTTTTTGGGGCCAAAACCGGAAAAATCAATTTTTTAATTGTTTTCTAATTTTTAGGGCCCACACGTCTTCAACAAGTTCAAAAGTACGAGAACAGCAAGTACAAGGAGTACAATTCACATCGGCGGGTGGTGATGGTGGTGGTGCTTCTTGTGGTGACGGCGACGATGTGGTCCGCCCAAGTTCATGCCCTGGAGGGCGGCATCAAGTTGGGGGAGTTCAGCCGGTTGCATAGGGGGAGGCGGCATCGGCATGCCCGAGCGGACGGAGCAGCACTCAAACTCAGAGCTGCCGGAGTCGGACTCGTTGGGGCCATGGCCATGCTTGCCGTGACCTCCTCCATGATGAGGGGGATGGGGTGGGAAGGGGCCGTGACCCCCGTGGTGATGATGTCCTCCATGGTGAGGCGGCGGGAACGGGCCGTGACCTCCGTGGTGATGTCCGCCATGGTGGGGTGGAGGCGGGAATGGTCCATGTCCTCCGTGATGTCCTCCGTGACCTCCTCCGTGATGAGGGCGCGGTGGGCCGCCGTGATGTCCGCCGTGGCCTGAAAAGGGTGAAAGTTAAAATTTAAAACAAGCAACATTTTTTTGAAAAATCGATGAAACCGCAACGACTTCAAGGAGTTCAGTTTTTTTTGTTAGCTAAATACGTTAACTGGCAGCCAGCAAACAGAATTCAATTTTTAGAAAATTAAAAATGGCTGGATTTTCCAAATTTGTCCAAAATCAAATCTCACAAAGACTTCAAGGAGTTCAGGGCGCATATTCAGTACAATAAAAATTGGAAAAGTGTACTAGCCGCTAGGCTGGCATACAGAAAGCCCGAGCCGCTTGTTAAAAGCTCTAAAACTTTTAAATTTTCGAAATCTAATCCCCGGGGCCCCGCCCGCGACTTCAAGGAGTTCAGAGCCAAAATTAATTACAATACGATTCTGATAAATCGCTAATCGCTAAATTGGCAGTCAGTAAGCGTTATTATAATGAGAAAATTTTTCTGCTAAAACCTAAAAAAAATTTTACAAATAATTTCCTTACCTCCTTTGCCTCCTCGGTGATGCGGGGGCGGGATGGGGTAGCAGATGGCGAAGAACGGACGTGGATGGCACTTTCCACCCTTTCCGCCCTTTCCTCCATGCCCACCATGTCGTCCATGATGATGATGAGGACCGGGCGGGTGATGGCCACCATGGTGATGTCCGCCGCCATGATGTCCTCCATGATGGTGTCCACCTCCGCCATGATGTCCTCGTCCTCCATGTCGCCCCTTTCCACCTCTTCCGCCTCGTCGGTCCACATCTCCTCCCTCAGGTCCCTCCTCCTCCTTGGGCGCCTTGATCATCTCCGGGGCGTCGTCGTCGCTCTCCTCAGAATCCGACGACTCGCTGCTGTCGTCGGAATCGCTTTCGGAGTCGGATTCCGAAGATTCGGACGAGTCAGAATCCTCCTCCTGAACTCCTTGAAGTCCCTCCTTCTTCTGCTTCTTGGCGAACAGGGTCATCTCCTCGCCGCCGGAGCAGAACAGTGCCTCTTGCAGATCGGCGGGGGTGGTGCATTTGATCTGAGAATTTATTGGTAAATTGGCAGACTGAAAATTAATGGATTCTCAAACTTGAGCCTAATCGGAGCCCCCAACGACTTGGAGGAGTTCAGGGCCCAAATTCAATACAGAAAACTTTTAAAAAATCAATTAATCGCTAAACTAGCCTACAGTAAGACCGATCTGCTAGTTAAAAACTGCAAGAATTCCGGAATTTTCGAAATTGAGCCGAAATCGGGTCGCGCCACGACTTCAAAGAGTTCAGGGCCAAAATTAACTACACTATGATTTCGAAAAATCGCCTAATAGCTAAACCGGTCTCCAGTAAACCTTACCTGATCGTGATGACGGCGTTTTCTACGTTCGACTACCGTATCTACCGTATCCCGCGTAGCTACTGTACCCCCGACCGTGCCCACCTTGTCTCCCTGCGCATCGATCCATCGCAGCGCCTTCGCGTCGATACCCATTTGGGTCATCTTTTCGGTCAGCTGTTTGTAGAGCTTCTTCGCATCATCGGCCGGTTCTGTCAACCGGAAACGACGGGCCGACGAGCCGCCGTGGAACAGTTTGAAACGGATTGGTTGCATTCTTTCTGAAAATTTTGAACTAGGATATTTAACATTTATTAAGCTGGCGAGAAGCAAACAAGAAAATAGAAAAATTAACGCACAAAAATTGGACTTAAAGGGAGCGTGACAGCAAAATTTTCCAAAATGTAAAAAATCTAGGAATTCAAAGGTTTTAAAAAAGTAAAAAATATGTTTATGAATTAAAAAATGTCAAATTTAACTAGAGTTTAAACTGGCTGATAGAGAAAGAAATTTAAACGATTAACTCTTATAAAATTCGTTTTAAAGGGGCCTGCCTGACAGCCTGTCCAAAAATCCTGCAAATCGCAAAGTTTTCGGAATTTTTTTAAATAGAGGGTTATGATAGCTGTCTCGATAGCGTGGGAGAGCAGACATGAAGGGTCACAACATTTATTCTGAGGATGTCCCCGGTGGGGTGACACCTCGTTGAAGTAAATGAGGACTGGAGAAGCCGGGGTCGGAGCGGATGACTGAAGCAATCACAACGAGAAATGGGGGCTTTATATACCAGGGAACGTAGGGAAATCGACATGGTAATGAGGGGAAGGCATGGTGATTAGCTTGTTCTTCCGGTCATTCAGCATGCGCATGCAGTCGCGGGATCGCGACACTCCCGGGGGACGAGGCTTCAGCGGCAGTAGTCGAACGGCCTGCAGACGACCCGCGGTGGCAGACATCGCTGCTTCTTGACTCGTCGCCACGCACGTCGTCAGCCTTGAACACGATGGAGTTGCCCTTGATCACGCGAAGTTGCCCTTGATCACGCGAAGTTGCCCTGGTACACGATGACGTTGCCCTTGTACACGATGAAGACGCCCGTGATCACGAGAAGACGCCCTGGCACACGTGATGTTGCCCTTGAACACGAGAAGTTGCCCTTGAACGCGAGAAGTTGCCCTTGAACACGGTCGAGTCGTAGCACGCCGGGTGAAACTCTGCCAGCCCTTCCGGGGCGGCCCGATCTCGCCAAAAGAAGTGGGTCTTCATCGCACACGGTCGAGTCACGGTACGTCGGGTGGAACTCCGCCAGCCCGTTCAAAACGTCCGGATCACGCCAAAAAAGTGAGTCTTCTTGATGCACACGGGTACGTGGCCCTCCCGGGGGCGGCGTTCAGCATCACGTCCGAGTAGATGTCGACCGGGATCCCACGGGGCACCACATGTCTCGATAGCGTGGGAGAGCAGACATGAAGGGTCACAACATTTATTCTGAGGATGTCCCCGGTGGGGTGACACCTCGTTGAAGTAAATGAGGACTGGAGAAGCCGGGGTCGGAGCGGATGACTGAAGCAATCACAACGAGAAATGGGGCTTTATATACCAGGAACGTAGGGAAATCGACATGGTAATGAGGGGAAGGCATGGTGATTAGCTTGTTCTTCCGGTCATTCAGCATGCGCATGCAGTCGCGGGATCGCGACAATAGCCCTAAAACGGCTTACTGTAGTACAGGAAAACTAAACTGGCAGACATACGGTAGTTTGGACTTCAAAAAATTTTAAAACGCAAAGAAAAACGAATTTTGGAAAACAGTACGCAAAAAAATCGCAAAATCCACTATTTTTAATGGAATACGGTATTAGTATGCAGCAGTTTTATAACAATTACGTCATCGAAAACGGCTTTACAAAACCGTTAAATTCGAAATACAAAACTGAAAAAATTCGAAATTCCGCAAGGCTACGGGGGCCCAGAATTCGAAATTCTAATCGATTACGCTACTTAAATCGGTTGGAAAATCGCGAAAATTCGGAAACGGAGATACTGTATTCCAAGCAAGATAAATTCGATGAAAAAATCCGAAATAGGAATTCCGGGAAAAGGAAATTCCGAAAATAGGGTACGGTAGCGCCGCCTTCCAGCAAAAATAAAAAACCCGGGGTACGAGTAGGTACAAATTGCGTATTGTATGTCAGCTGGGGTTGTGGAGAAGATTTTATACGGGAACCCACGAAAAACAGGGCCTTTTGAGGGGCTGAATGTTGGTGCTGATCTTCTGGCTGGAAAGGGGGCGGGGCTTCGATTTGGGAGAGGGAAAGAGAGAGGGGGGAGAGGGCAGACGAGAGGGGGCAGAGAGAGGGGGAGGGGAGAGGAGAGGCCAGACGATAGGCCGCTCGCCTCAAAATGATCCGCACCACCTTTCGCAACCCAAAAAATGGGGGCCAGGGTGTTCCGCTGCAATACATCTACAACACTTAGGGAATTTGCAAAGCACTAGGGACTTTCGAAAATCACGGCATTTCATAGCGTAACCGGATGGAGGGCAAAAGTTCGGCATCAAAATCGGGGATTTCAAAAATTTTGCAATCGCGTAAGTTGGTGCGGAACGTAGTCTGGGCCTCGAAATTTTCAGGATTGGCCGACTGTATGCCATTTAATAGGAAATCATTGGAATTTCACAATTTTTTAACGTAATTGAAAAGACAGAACAAGTTCCGCACCAAAAGCCCCGGATTGCAAAAATTTTGCAATCGCGTAAGTTGGTGTAGAACGTAGTCTAGTCCTTGAAAGTTTCAGGACAGACAGACTGTATGCCAGTTTACACTAATCCTTTGCGATTTTTTAATTTCCTAGCGTCAGCGAATCGTGGGCAGAAGTTCGGCAGCAAAAGCCCAGATTTCACAATTTTTGCAATCACGCAATTTTGTGCGGATCGTAGTCTAAGTCTTACAACTTTCAGGAAAAGCTTGCTGTATGCCAGTTAGTAGGAATCCGCCGGAATATTGATATTTCGAATAATTTTCGAATTACATAACGTAACCGGATCCCATGTCAAAATTTTCCAAATTGATGAAATCCTCGTTTCATTTTGATACTACCAAATTTTCGAAAGGCTGTACTGTATGGCAATTAATAGGATTATGATCAATTCGTAGAAATTCATGGCGTAATCGAATAGGAATTTGACTATTTTCAGGTTCTTTCGGGATTTTCACGAGTTTTCAGAGACTTTGACATTTCATTTCGTAATCGGATGGTCATTTCAGCTGTGGTTTTATCGGTTTGGTGGTTTCACACCCCCTTTAATCGGCTTTAATCGGCAAGATCGGCGAAGACGCGCTGTTCTCTGCATTTGCCCGCAGGATTTGGTGCGGAACACTGTCGCTGTTTTCGCCGCAGGGGATTTTCAAGGCAGAATTTTTGGGTTAATTGGCAGACAGAGAGGGTTGCCATGGCGCTCAGAGGGACAAAAAAACTAGAGGAGGATCAGGTGGGGGGAACAGCTGTTCCAAAAATACGCACACGCACGTCCAAAAGCCCCCCATAAATCCCCCCGCGCGCAAACAACCCATCAAAAATCGGGGGCGCCTAATGGGACAAATCTCGGATTAAGTGAGCTGTCAGCATAGTTGTACCTACAGTAATTTGGGAACTTAAGGCCTAAGCGGCTAAAAAAATCTAGCGTCGAGCTCGAGTAGTTCAAAAATCACGAATCGATTATTTGATTACAACATGTAATTCGAAAACCTTACAAAACCCAAAAATTCGAATGGAATTGTGTAATTTGACATACAGTCAACCTCACACAAAAATTTCATGGCCTTTGCTACGATCTACATCCACTTACGGAATTTCAAAAATTTTGAAAACCACACTTTTTGGTGCCGAGCTTTTTGCCCTCCATTCGCTTACGCTAGGAAATTCGAAAATCTCCGCGGATTACTGTAAACTGGCATGAAATTCGTGGTTTCGTATCGGCATTGATTCCGTTTTTCCGATTTTTCCGGAAATTCGGATCGGTAATTCACTGTTCGATATTCGATCACGCTAGAAAATTCCAAATTTCGAAAGATCGTCATCTGATTACGCTATGAAATCAAAAATCTCAAAAATCTCGATCAATTCTTCTCAACTGATAGGCATTTACATTTTTCCTATCCAATTACGCCATGAAATCCGTGCTTTTCGAGAAACCGCCGTTTTCTGCAGATCAGGTACTTTCCGGCCTGCCCAAAACAGTGATCAGCCCGGTTTTTCAGATCATGGTCAGCAAATAGAGGTGAAAATCCTGGTGTGTGTCGGTCAGTTTGTCTGTTTGTCTGCCATTTCAGCCAGTTAAGCCGGTAGGAGTGTTGGTTTAGCTCGGGTTGGTCAGCAGCACTTCTATAGGGACCGGGGCTGGACCTCGAAAAAACCCTCTAAACTTCAAATAAACAACTGGCGAGAGGGTGGAGAAGGATAGAGAGAAGAGAGAGCGAGAGAGAGCGAGAGAGAAAGAAAGAGAGAGCGAGCGAAAGAGGGACAGAGCGAGAGTGCGACAGAGACAGGGAGAGAGAGAGAGAGGGAGAGAGCGAGCGAAAGAGACCGAGAGAGACAGAGAGAGAGAGAGAGTGAGAGCGAGAGAGAGAGAGAGTGGGAGAGAGATTGGACAGTCCGTTGAACGGTTTCGGCCCCTCTCGAAGTGTTTGCCCTAGCTGTTTTGTGGTCCCATTCTGGGCCCACCCCTCCCCCCTCCACCCCACATCAACCATCGCAAAAAATTGGGGCAATCTAAGGTGATTTGGCTGACAGATAGGCGTTCGGGCACTTTAAAGGAGCTCGGAAGGCATGAATCCACAAGAATTCCGTGAAAAAACGAGACATTGGTAAAAATAAAAATATTGTGAAAAAAAATATTGTGCACTTTATCGTGTGGGCTAAAAAAGACAGAATACGCAAAACAATGTCAAAATACATGAAATATATTTAAAAATCAACAAAAATGCAAAATTTAGATGTTTTTCAATATGTCAGTTTTTCGAATTTTCAAAATTTCCGACTTACAGTATGAGCGTTCCTTTCATTCCTCCCCTGGATGGCTGCATTGCACGAGTGGTAAGGGCTAGGCGAAGCTGTTGTACATCGATACCAAACATTCCAGCTGCTCGAATCGCTGATTTCTCGGATTCGCCGGGAGAGACACGGCTGCCATCTGGAAATAGCGACTAAGCAATTCCCAAATGCCCTCTGCTGCTTGCCCCTTTAAAATTTGTCTAACTGCCAGTCAGTCTATAGATTCCGCAAAGAATCTCGGCTAGTTTGCCCTATCCTAGATTTTTACGGCCGGAATTATCGGTTTTTCAAGAGTTTTTCGACGTAACTTTTCTCAAATGCCCTCTGATAGCCTGCCACTTTAAAATTTGTCTTAATGCCAGTCAGCCGATCCATTCCACAAATGATCTCCGCTAGCTTGCCCTTTATTAGATTTTTGCGGCCGGATTTACCGGTTTTCCAAGTGTTTTCCGGCGTAACTTTTCTCAAATAGCCTTTGCTAGCCTGCCACTTTTGAGATCAACCAACTACCAGACAGTTGATCGATTCCGCAAACTATCTCTGCTAGTTTACCGGGATTCATCATCCGATTACGCCGTATAAATTTTCCCATATACCACATGGTTCAGAAAAGGGCCCCCCCTGGGTACAGGATGCAGAACGCTCTAGAGCGCAGACGCGAGGGCGGACGGGCAGGGGAGGGGTGGGGCGCGCGAGTAGCGAACGGCCGGGCTAATCTTTCGTACACACCATTTATGATTCAAACGCGCGGGGTGGGGGCAGACAGCCAGAGGAGGGCGAGGTGCCGAGACCCCCTCCCCATCCTGTCCCCGCTCGACGAACCTTTTTCGTATGGCTCTGAACGCTGTGATACTTGCCTTCAACGCCCCCTTTAAAATTGTCGGAATCCAACCGAAAATTATTTAGAGAAACAAACGGTCTCTGAGACACCTGGGGCAAGCTAGCGGAGAAAATTTGGGAACCAGAAACGGGGCATTAGCAGCGATTCTTGAGGATTAAAGGGACGGTGACACAAAGGTGCTGGATTTTCCACAAATGACCCCTGCTAGCATGCCTTTTCGCTTGATTTGGTTTAGCTGTCAGTCATTTAAGATAATGCCTACCTTTCCCTCCCTCCTCCATCGCCACAAAATCGACATTTCCGAGGTGCAAGACTCCGGCTACTGTGCTCAACACTTGTTTTCTCAGTCCCTCGTTTAGACCGCATTTCTCAAGACAGGAGAGGAGACGTTTGAAATCTGCCGCGTCATCCACGATTGGGTCCTGGCGGGTATGGGCCTAAAAACGGGTTTAAAGGGCCGTTGAAGGCAAAAAATAACGATGCGGGCTCCCTTTGATGATCATTCATTCCCCTTTCATTGCCCGACCGTGCGAAAAAGTCGACGCAACCGCGACGCAGGTACTAAACGGTTACGGCCTTATATTAGGTGGTTTTCAGTCGATTACGACATAAAAAATGAACCGAAAAACCCACATGAAATCGATCGGGCGGTGCGAGGGCGTACAGTTTATACATATCCGCATCCGATCCTGCGATCAGTTGATAGAAAATGTGATAATTCCTCTCCCCTTCCGATTGGCCGACAATTCGAGATTTCTCCAGCAGATAATGCGACACGTGGCCTCCCGTAACCAAATTCCCCCGAGATGAATTTACTGGGTTTAAAGGGACCGGTATTCAATGGATATGGATCGAAATGAGGCCGCGATACGCCCGCGCGCCCCTTTTGCCTGTCCACAAAGCGTGTCGTAATCGATTGGGTTAGGAAGGACCCGGCGTGTGCGTTCCGTGTGCGTCGCGGCTTTCCTGTAAGTCTACCGCGCCGAGACACGTGACGCGCGCGCTCCGCCCTCTTCCATTGCGTGATCGCTCACCACACCTTTCTAGCGACCGAGCGTACGCGTTCGCGCCGCAGAAGCGTGCTAAAACTGGCGGAATCTACGACTTTCCAACCCATTTAAAGGTAA